AAGACTTTTTAATTTCTGGATGGAGTGATCTTTAGTCGAAAAATAAATCAGCTTTTGATTTATGTCTTTATGTCGACTTTTGATAACTTCTATGAAAGTTCGAATGACGTGGAATAGTACAAACTCATAATATGAATCTATAATGGATGAGGTAAATATAACTTGCACTAATGAAACATTTAAACCATTTGCCCATATATATGCAGAAAAGAGTAAAAAAAGAGCAACAACAACGTGCCTAATTACACAACCGACGTAAAAATTTTTCCAAAGTTTAAATTCCTTTTTTCCCGTATTTTGCAATCTCGTATCTAATAGTTGAAAATTTTTGTAGAGTAATCGCCATTGATTAGAATCAATAAAAACTGATTTTATCATTGTAAGGAGTGTCAAAACGGGCGGAATAAATACTGTCGGCAGAACAGTAACAAATTGGGAAGGTAACAAAATTTGATTGTAGTTGAAGTTGGTACTAGCTGTTATCAAATATGTTATCCATGTCATTTTGAACACAATTAAGCAACATCCATACAATGTCGCCATTGATGATTTATAGCAGGATTTTTTGTCAAAATCGTACCATGAATTTACAAGCAACATATTTAAATAGCCATTATAAAGACGAATGAAGTTGATATCTTTTGTGGATAAAAAGAAATTTAAAGTCATGGTTTTAAAATATATTCTGTGTGCAGCGCGAGAGTGCACTGAGTACTGGATAAACAACAAAATTAAACGTTGTTGTAAATTATTCTACAGCGATAGAATCTCCAGTAAAATATTATTTGTTATTATCGAAATCGACAATATAATTGCTGCAGTGTTTGTTTATAAAAAGTGAAATTAAATGAGAAACATTGATTGTTCTTATTACTGTAAAATAAGGAAGAAACGGGATGATTTTTTAGTGTCAACAGAGCTGCCATAAAACATTCAGCTGTATCACATTTAGCAAATTATTATAATCAAAACAATTATTGAAATCACGTGGGTTTAATCAGTATTTAACATTTTTTGTGATATCATCTATTAATTAATTTATTTTTTATGGACCAACAGGATTTCCAATAAAATGTTATTTGTATTTGATCTTAATTTGCATTCCAAAGGTTCCCAATTACTTATCTTGGAATTTCCTATGATTTTCTTATCCGAGACTGATTTTTCCACCAGACTTTATTAAATTATAAAATACACATATAATAATAAAAATAAAACAAAACTAAATACTATTCTTTATTTCGGCTTCTGTGCATAGTGAACTTGCAAAGTTACGATAAAATATGTCGCCATGTTGCTAGTAAACAAAAATTCTTCTATTGATAGAAAAAAATCCTGCAGCGTTAAAATCCGGCACTAATTTTTGACAATAGTTTAGAATTCCTCCCAAAATTTCCATATTGCGAAAATCTTTTTCGAAAGGATCTTGTATCCCACCAAGCAAATGCAAAAATTTCTTGGCTTCTTGTGTAGTGTAGTCGGTAGAAAACACAACCTCAACTACGTGATACTAAAATGAAAAATTATGAAACAGAAAAATGCCAATAGTAAACTTACGAGAAAATATCCCATTATCGACACAGAACCAAGGGGGTTAGTAACATAATATGTTTCATTAGGTGGCACAAAAGAAAAAAAGAAAAAATTTAAAGAAATCACTAACTCCACCATAAAGTGAAAAATGATTAATAAAATTTGGTAACCAAAAAGATTGTTAAATATTTCTACGGTCTCTCCTAGAACTCCATACAAGTGTGCCACATTTTTCACCTCTAAAATGGAACACTTTTGGTTACGTGCTGTTACAAGTTTCTGATTTAACTGTTTATATCTGGTTCTAAAACTCTCGATTAAAATTAACCATAGTTCAATTATTAAAAACTCGTAGTATACAAATATCACCAGACTTCCCCAGAATAACGCCAAAAACGTCATTTTTGAACCATTTAATGTGTTATAAAAAATGCTAGCGATTACCATAAGAAAAATAACATGTTTGAGTAACAACGACAAATAAAAATTTTTGAAAATTCTCGCCTCTCTGCGTCCCTTATTTTTCAGTTTGACGTCAATGTAGTGAAAATTTCGGAAAATAACTTCCCAGTTTGTGAAATTCCAAAAATTTTTTTAAATTGTGAATGCAACTAAAAACAATAGGGTTACTGTTCTCAAGGAGTAAAGGACTTTCTGACATGGTAAAAAATTTTCGATTGCGTCTCGAACAGTTGAATCAACTAACGAGGTGGTGAACCACAAAATGTGCAATAAAAGAATGCCAAAACCATAAAATCTACAATAAGATGGTTTTCGAACACCGTTCTTCTCTACATCGTACCACGGCGTTACGAGAAAATATTGCAAATAATTGAAAAACTTTTGCAAAAAGTCGTTATCGTGTACTGACAAGCTAAAACTCATGGTAGCTGCGACGATGACAGAAAACTGAACAGGATATTAAATTTTCCCATGTCATATCTATTTATTCTTAGAACAAAAGGTAGGATATTAAAGGTTGGGTGCATGAGAATGAAAAACGGAAAATTATAATCAAAACAATCTTTCAAAACAACTTGGTTCAATCAATATTTATTATTTTCCTTTGCATCATATTTTTGTGAATTTAATATTTTATGAAGCAGTAAAACTTCTAAGACTGGCTGCATCATGATTGAAGTAGGTACTTATTTTTAAAAAATAGGGTCAAGTGATAATCAATTAATGTTACTTTTATTATCTAATATAAGCTTTGTCTGAACCTCCGTTCAGCAACTAAAGGCAGAAATGAAAATTAAGTTAAATTCTATTTTTTTATTATTATTATTTTATTTCTAAATTCGGTTGATATTTGATTGTATTAAATCAACTGAGTTAAACTGCATAATTATAATTAAATAGGTCATAACGGTCCCAAGGAAACTAAAAATGATTCCCTTGTTGATATCAAACAGCCCATTAGCACTAAATTTCTCCCAAAAATGTTCAGCATGGATTGCCAGTCTCCCTAAAACTTCGACTTGTTTGGATTCTTCTGGAAAATATTCTTGTATTTTGTAACACAAATCTATAAAATTTCTAGATTCTTGCATTGTAGATTCTACGGAGTATACAATACCCAAAAAAATACACTGAAAAAGACATAATAAGAAAAATAGGAAACATTTTTAAAACCTTACCATAGTGTAAATTAACAAACAAACATCGTTGACAAAGTCGTAATAACTCGAGCCACGTCCATCAGAAGAAAACACAATCACGTAACAATTATTTATTATTGTGACGAGTGATACGCCGCAGTGTAGAATTATCAGTACAAATTGATAACCGAAAATTTGATTAAAAACCTTGGTACTTTCACACAAAATACGATAATCGCTTCCAAGACTTTTTAGTTTCTCGGTGCAGTTATCTTTGGTTGAAAAATAAATCAGTTTTTGATTTATGTCTGTGTGTCGACTCTTGAAAACTTTCATTAAAGTTTGAATGACGTGCAGTAGTACAAACTCATAATATAAGTCTATAACAGGTATGGAAAAAATGACTCTCACTAATGACATATTGAAAACAATTGTCCATATATATGCAGCAAAGGCTAGAAAAAGTACAAAAATAACGTGCTTAATTACACAACCGAAGTAAAAATTTTTCCAAAATTTAAATTCCTTTTTTCCCGTATTTTGCAATCTGGTATCCAATAGTTGAAAATTTTTGTAGAGTAATTGCCATTGCTTAGAGTCGATAAAAGTTGATTTTGTCATTGTAAGTAGTGTCAAAGCATGCGGAATAAATATTATCGGCACAAGAGTGACAATTTGGGATGGTAACAAGTTCTGAATTATCTTGAAGTCCTTACTAGTTATTATCAAATATGTTATCCATGTCAGTTTAAACACAATTAAGCAACATCCATACAATGTGGCCATAGATGATTTATAGAAAGATTGTTTGTCCAAATCGTACCATGAATTTACAAGCAACATACTTAAATAACGGTTATAAAAACGAAGAAAGTTGATATCTTTTGTGGACAATGAGAAATAATCTAAAGTCATGGTTTTAAATTTTACGGTGTGCAGCGTTTTAGAGTACACTAAGGAATGGATAACATAAAATCTATACTTTGCTGTAAATTATTCCACAGGAATAGAATTTCCGGTAAAATGTTATGTGATTATGGAAATCGACAGCATAATTGTTGAAATGTTTGTTTTTAAACAGTGAGGTTAAATGGAAATCATTTATTGTTCTTATTCTGAACAGAGCTGTCATAAAATATTCAAACAACATATTTGAGTAAAAACAAAAATAGAAATTTTTAAGAATGACCGATTCTTTCCCTCCCATGTTTCTAAGTTTTAATTCGACGTAATGGAAATTTCTGAAAAAGGTTTCCCGATTTTCGAGGTTCCAAAAATTTTTAAAAATCGTGAATAAAACAAAAATTAATGTTATAAGTAGTTTCGAAGGGATTGATGACTTTCTGGCATGGTAACAAATTTTCCATTGCTTGTAAGGCAGACGCATCAAGTATGTATGCGGAAAAACACTAAATGTGCAATAAAAAAATGCAATAACCATAAAGTCTGAAATAAATTGGTTTTCGAACACAGTTCTTCCCGATGTGAATTTTTGAAAATTTCTAAAAATTTCTATATTTCGACGGTCGATTCCGGAAAAACGGTTCCAGTTTTCAAAGAAACGAGGCCGGAAGTGAGTTCTATAAGTCGAAATCTACAAGAAAATGTATTTAGTCAAGTTTCGCAAATAATAAAATTTGGCCGAAATTTGATGACGACTGAAAAAATTTCACTTTTAAAAAAGTTGCAAAAATATTGTAAAAAAATTCAGGGACGTAGATCTCGACATGCTGATTCCAAAAATAGAGCGTGTGACAGGTCGCCGAGCGATATTTTCGAAGAAATCTGTACGAAATATGAATTTTTGAAAATTTTCAAAAATTTCGATATTTCGACGGTCCTTTCTCCTTAATGCTTCCTACTTTATCATTCATCCTTCGTCCTTCCTCCCTTACTCTTCTTTCTTCGTCCTTGATCCTTCGTCCTTCGTCGTTCGTCCTTGATTCTTCGTCCTTCGTCGTTCACCCTTGGTCCTACGTCCACCATCCATCGTTCTTCATCCTTCGTCCTTTGTCCATCGTCCTTCGTACTTCGTCCTTGATCCTTCGTCCTTCGTTCTTGATCCTTCGTTCTTCGTTCTTGATCCTTCGTCCTTCATTCTTGATATACTTCGTCCTTCGTCTTCCATTCTTCGTCCGTCGTCCTCCGTCTCTCGTCCTTGTTACTTCGTCTTTCGACCTTCAGCCTTCGTCCTTGATCCTTCGTTCTTCGTCCTTCAACCGTCGTCCTTGATCGTTCGTTCTTCGTGCTTCGTCCTTGTTCCTTCGTCCTTCGTGCTTCGTCCTTGAATCTTCGACCTTCGTCCTTTATCCTCAATCCTTCGTGCTTCCTCCTTCATCCTTCGTCCTTCATCTTTTGTCATTTGTCCTTGACCCTTCGCCCTTGATCCTTCGTCCTTCGTACTTCGTCCTTCGTACTTCGTCCTTCGCCTTTCGTCCATCGTCCTCCGTCCTTCGTCCTTGATCCTTCGTCTTTCGTCCTTCGTGTTTTGTTCTTTTTCCTTTCTCCTTTGTCCTTCGACCTTCGTCTTTCATCCTTGATCCTTCGTCCTTCGTCCTTGATTCTTAGTCCTTCGTCCATCGTCCTTGGTCTTTCGTCCTTTGTCCTTGATCCTTAGTCCTTCGTTGTTCGTCCTTCGTTCTTGGTCCTTCGTCCTTCGTTGTTCGTTCTTGATACTTCGTCCTTCGTGGTTGATCCTTCTTTCTTCATCCTTGATCCTTAGTCCTTCGTTGTTCGTCCTTCGTTCTTGATCCTTCGTCCTTCGTCCTTGATCCTTCGTTCTTCGTCCTTGATCCTTCGTTCTTCGTCCTTGATACTTCCTTCTTCGTCCTTGACCCTTCGTCCTTGATTCTTCGTCCTTGATTCTTCGTTCTTGATCCTTCGTCCCTAATTCTTCGTCCTTTGTCCTTCGTCCTTCGTCCTTTATCCTTCGTCAGTGATTACAAAACATTTTAAAAAAGTTGTCTAAAAATTGCGAAAAAATTCAGGGAACTAGATCTCGACATGCTGATTCCAAGAATATCGCATGTTATTATTATTATTATTATTATTATTAGTTTATTACGGAATAACTCCAATTACAAAAAGTAAGAAAATTAAACTTACAAATACATAAGGTATATGATTAACTTAATTAATTATCTTTATAACAATGATCATACAATAAACACAAAAAGAAACAATTTTAAATTATCCGAATTATACAAGATTATTTATCATTCTCTTAAATACAACAAGGTTTGAGTTAAAAATATCAAATTTTACAAAATTAGATAGTTCGTTTGCTTGTTTCATCATTCTTCGCAATGGGTGGTTAGTTGACATATTAGTAGATGCTTTGTTAATTCTGAAAATTTTACAAGATCTAGTAGTTCTGCAGTTTTTATTTGGAACCCTAAACATTAGTTTGGCTAATAAGTCATTACTATCTATATGGTTGTTAATAATGGCGTGAAGAACACATAAATCCGTTATATCTCTACGTATCTCCAAGGATTTAATATTGAGGAAGCTCATGACCCATTCATATTCACCTTGTTGATGTAGATGATGTTCTTTAAATTCAATAGACCTCAAAAACTTTTTTTGAACACGCTCTAACAATGAAATATGAGTGTCGCATGTTGGATGCCAAACTGAAGAAGCATATTCCAGAACAGAACGCACGAGAGAGCAATATAGCACTTTAAGTGCATGAGAGCTCATATCCTTGCAATGGCGCCAAATCAATCCCCACATCTGCAGAGCCTTGTTAAATATGTATCGATAATGACTTTTGAAAGAGAGTTTATTATCAAAAAGTATGCCGAGATCTCTAATTTCACTAACAGGCTTGAGCAAACTTTTCCCAATATAATAATCATAATCGATCATATTTTTTTTGTTAGAAAATGTAATTTTATGACATTTATTTAAATTCAGTTTTAAAAAATTTGTTTCACACCATTCATATATATTATTTAAATCCTTTTGTAATTCCTGACAATCAGTTATGGATGAAACTTGTTTATATATCTTTAGATCATCTGCATAGAATAGAAATTTTGAAGATTTAATACAATAACTCAAGTCATTTATAAAAAGAAGAAATAAAATTGGACCACAATGTGAGCCCTGGGGTACTCCAGATGTAACTTCAAAATAATCAGAAATGTGGTTGCCAATTTTAACCTGTTGCCACCTATTAGTAAGAAACGATTTAACCCATTTTATGGAATATTCTCTAAAACCAAGTCTATTAAGCTTTGAAATTAATACATTGTGATCCACTCGATCAAATGCTTTTGCGAAATCTGTATAAACAGCGTCCACTTGACATTTATTCGCAAATGATTCATTGAGAAACGAATAATATTCCAAAAGGTTGGATAATGTTGACTTATTTTTACAAAAACCATGCTGTTGATTAGTAAGTAATTTTGAAACTGCCCACTGTAACTGCTTAGCTATGATGGAATCGAAAATTTTAGGGATAACCGATTGATTGGAAACACCTCTATAGTTGTCAACTTTGTTCCTTTGACCAGATTTAAAAATAGGTTTAACATAACTCAGTTTCCAAACATCAGGAAATACACCAGTATCCAAGGACTTGCTGAATAACATAAATAGTGGTATTGATAAAGTACATATACACTTTTTTAAGAATACATTGCTTAAACCGTCTGGTCCAGCATTTGTAGAGTCATTCAACGAAGAAATAGTGTTAAATATATCCTTAATCGTTATTATAAAACCCGTATCAATAACTTCATCTTTAAATTGACTATCAATTATCTTAGAAGAATCATTAACCATATAGACCGATGAGAAAAATTCTGCGAACAAATTGGCAACTTCTTTACCACCATTCACCACTCTATTTAAATAAGACATTTCTTCTGGAATATTGTTAGGGACTTTCCTTTCTCGAATAAATTTCCAAAAGACATTAGGATTGTTAATAATGGAAACGCTGACAGTATCCACATACGATCTATAAAGACTTTTCGATAGTAGTTTACATTTTGATCTCAAACTCTTAAAATAAACGTAATCTTGAAGTTCATTCGATTGTTTAAATATAGCGTGTGCTTTCCTTTTTTCGTAGCACAGTGTTTTCAGTTCAGAACTGAACCATTGAGGGTATTTGGAAGATTTTATTTTTATAACCTTTTTTGGAATATAAACTTCTAAACCTTCATATATAATATCATAAAATATCGCTATCATTTCATCAAGCTCATAACCTTCAAAGCATGTATTCCAACACACAGAAGCTAAATAATCATTAAATAGAAAGTAATTACCATTTGCAAAGTCGAATACAGTGTATTCTATTTCAAGAGATGGATTTGAAGCGGTGCAGATCGACCACGAATAAGGAATATGATGTATACTATCCCCTACTAGTGGATCAATTGCAGGGTAAATTTTCATTTCAGTTACACTTGTAAAGATTAGATCGAGAAAAGTATTTCGATTATTCGGAATTAGATTAACTTGAGTTAAATTTAAAAATGAATAAGTACTAAGTACAACATCGTAGCAGTCTTGATTAAGAACAGTATGCCCATGTCCTTCAACACCGTTTTGGGTCCATTTAATATCAGGTAAATTAAAGTCACCTGTAACTATGAATTTATGATCGGGAAATTTTTCTGACACTATTTCCATATCATTACAATGTGATTCATATGCACTAATGTGCGAATTCGGAGGAATATAGACACCCGCTATGATGAAAGCTGAACCGTTCAATTTCAGAGAAACATAAAGACTTTCAACAACCTCACCAATATATACAATCGAAGAATTCAAACATTTGTTAATGGCTATCAATACTCCACCTCCTCGAGATTTGGCACTAGTAATTTCGTTGCGATCTGCACGGTAAATATTAAAATTATGTAACATTAACTCCTCATTTTGTATTTTTTCACATAACCAAGATTCTATAATTATTACGACATCATAAACACAACTATTGACATTAATTGAAAATTCCTCTAATTTAGATCTTATTCCCCCAACATTATGATAGTAACAGTTTATTAGTTTTTTGGGACATTTTTAGAAGAATTACGTTTAATTATATAAGGAGTGTTATGTTTATATCTCAAAGCCAAGTCTTCTCCTTTCGAAAGCCTGTCTTGCAATTCTTTCTTAACTGCATTTATATGCTTCCTTTGTCTTTCCGTCAAGTCCGGACAAAAATGGTTATTTCGGTTTTTGTTATTTTTGTTGGACTTTAATACTTCTTTTGCATCGTTTTCATTGTTGTAAATAATTTTCATTGGACGATTATGATTATCTTTAGAAACTCCAAGTCGAACAATTGTTTTAGGATTAGGAAATGCTCCTAAAGGTGATAAAATGGCTTCAACTTTTTTAAAGTCATCGGCAACTCTTTCGGCGACGTTTGTTGCTGACGATTCTTTAATGTTGAATAATAAGATGTTAGATGCTCTTTGCTTACGATCTTCAATTTCTTCTATAACGCTATCGACATTGCACGTCCCAGAGTTTTTAAAAGTATCTAATTCATTCCTCAACAATTTGACATCATTTTCAACGGCAGAAACTCTATTATCCAGTTTACCAAAATAGTCATCTATTTTATTGAAAAATTCTGCTTTAAGTACATCTAATTGATTTTTCATAAGTTGTTCCATTTGGGCAAAAGTAATAGGTGCTGAGGTAATGTTAGTCATTATTAAGCATTTAGAACAGCTCCATGGATCCTTATTAACAGTAAATTTTACAAGATCGGGTTCGGGTAAATTCAAACAGTTTACGTGGAAGTGCTTTTTACAAGCTCCATTACATTTAAGTGACGGGGTGGTAGGTGTTACAGCGCCTTCACAATGAAAGCAAGAGGCAGGCATATCGGCAGATTCTCAAAAAATTAGAGGAACAACCACAGGGACACAAATTAAATGCACCTTGGGGTCTTTCAAGGTGACTTAGTACACGAGACAGATGTTGATGGTCATCAAGCAATATTTTCGAAAGAATCGGTACGAAATGCGAATTTTTGATAATTTGTAATAATTTCGAAATTTCTTCGGTCGATTCCGGAAAAAGGGGTGCTCGGTGACCACCAACATGCTATATTTTTGGAATCAGCATGTCGAAATCTACGTCCCTGAATTTGTTGGCAATGTTTAGACAACTTTTTTAAAAGTGAGATTTTTTCAATGGTCCCCCCTTTCTTCAAATCTCGGCCAAATTTTGACGTTTTCGAAGCTTAGCCAAAATACATTTTCTTGTAGATTTCGAGCTCTAGAACTCACTTTATTGTTTAACTCCAACCGTTTTTCGAGGCGTTAAAAAATTTGGTTTTAAAAATGATTTTAAAATTTCGTCAAAAATGGTGCAGGCGCCCGGAAATATCTGCAATTTTCTCAGTTATTGACGGAGATACTGCAAAAATAAGCACATATTCGTGATCCTGAGAAAATTTCCTACAAGATAAGCGTTTCTCCGTGACGATTTTTTTAAATAGCTTTAAAATTCATGGTAACTGTGTCGATGACAGAAAACTGAAAAGGAA